GGGAATTACCCATCACTCTTTCTGTATTCGGTTGCATGTTCTGTATTTCAGTCAGAGATTCTTACGTCAACAAAGTAATTTGCAGAAAATGCTTGTAGTCAGATTTGGTGGGAAACGCTGTGCAGGTTGATGGAGCTGCTGAGAAAGCTGATGCATTACACATGGACATGAATCACAGTTAAAGTAACAGGATGAAATTACATGATGGTCAGGTTATGATGTCTGCGATGTACACCAATCATTGTGCACAAGAAAGTGACCATTTAAAGCAAATGCTTCTGCAGTTAGATTTGGTGGAAAAGGTTCTGCTCTTTGAGCGAGTTCTCAATGAATCCAAACAGCGATGTGTATTCTGCAAGAGCTAAACCTCAAAAACAAGATTATTACTCCCTGCTTAACCCCCAAATCCCCTGCACAACAGATCCACTGAGAACCCGCATCCTGAATATGCAACAGGCAATATATGCAATTCAATTTGAATGCTGGCAAAAGCCTTCTCATCTGAGCGGTAGCTCAGACAGAAGAGCTGATGAACAAGTGAGATGCAAACAGTGCTTTAATTCAAGGGAAATATTCTGCGTCGCCAAGCTCACAAGCATGTTGCAGTTTCCCATCTCAGTACATCTCAGATGAGATTACTCTGAGATAAACGTACTGCAAGTTGTTAATGGCATCTAGGTACAAAGGAAATATCCTACGACTACAATGAATAAACAAACAAGTGTGAGTCATCAGCTGCATGAAAAGTAAAACCAGGAAACAACTTCAAACCACGAACAAAAAACAAGCCCAAGACGGAATCAGCTCATACAACAGAGTTACTACTTCAGGTCAAGTCCTTCCCAAAAACACCTCACTGTACTGTGACGTCTTTAAGACTTACTACACTGAGAGGAGATTATGGGATGCCATCCAGGTGCAGTGGTTAGACCAGGTGCCTGGATTTGGAAGGTTATGGGTTCAAAACCAGGTGATGGAGTTTTACCACACTGCCTTACTATACATGTTGTTTTTACTGTAACATGTTTTATGCCTTCCTATAATATTATGATGTTTGATGTTTTTATTCCTTATTATACTGTGACATCTTTATGCATTATTATATTATGTAGAGAGAGTACTTTGTTTTTCTTATTTTTATTAATGATGTTTTATTTGAATTTTTTGTACATAGTTTTAATTTTTTTGCACCTTGGGAGGTCAGCAAATAAATCGCACCAACATACTGTGTTGGACTACGCCTGTCAGGAGTCACGCCACGTCACTACCAATGACTGAGAGCACAAGCAGCACAGCAGCAGACGCTTCCCTTTGACATCTGGCCCCTGACAGAACGGACACTGTCCAACGCAGACACAGGAAAAAGTCGACTTCCTGTCATGAACCAAAGGCCGACTGACAACTGAAGACGTGCAGCGCTCCACCAACTTAATCAAGCTGTCAGGTCGCCTGCGACAGCAAACAGTGTTGGCATCAGTGTGACGTCAGTAACAGCGGGATATTATATATAAGGTATATAATGTGACCGCACTGGTTACGAGCTGCACAGCTGTGAATGAACCAATCACTGTGAAGCTGCTGCTCACGTGTGCAGTCTTTGTTTTGAGTGTTTAAAACGTTCTGATGTGTGAATCTGGCCAATTATCTCAAGTCTGAAATCAGCTGCTACAACAGGAGGCTGACAGGTTAATTCATCCTCACATAAGCTCCTTGTCTGAGAGGTTTCTACCAACAAGATGCAGGACGTGAAAGTTTTTGTTTCCGAATGAAATTTGAAATCACATCAACATTCAATCAATCAAAAATCATTTAATAAGTATGTGCTTTATGTACTGCTTTCCTCTTTCTTATATATTTATAATATATACTTAACTCTTCACCCAACATCGACACAGCTCTGTGTTCATCACCTGCACATATCACTTACCTGATACTCTGTGTGACACTGGCTGCAGGCAAATTTGAAAAAGGCTGCTTACCATTAAGACCTAAGGCGCCCTTAAGAAACGTTCCAAAACTTAGCAGTGTTCGAAACCTGAGGCTTTTCTGAAAAACTCCATGTTCTCTAAAACCTTTATTACTCCGTACGCCTCTGAAGCAGATGGAAACATCCAATAAAACACATTTGAGACGTTTAACCTTTGGCTTTTCCTGTGAATCATTGCCTTTGCCTTTGAACATAGATATTGCCGGAAAACAAACACACCTGTCAACATTCAAATATTCATGAACAGTAAAGGAAGGTTTCTATCTGCTTCAGAGGCGGAGAAATAAAGGTTTTAGTGACAGTGTTGCATCAGGTGAAAACTCGACCTAACGGTGACACTGGCTCCTCCCCCTCTCACCCTGAGCCGTGACTAGCAGGTTAGCAGGTTAGCAGGTTGTGTGTTGGTGGAATCTTCTAAGTTGTTCCTGTTGTAGTTTCCATCCAGGTAACTGCTGTAATCTGCTTCAGTGTCGCTCCTCTCTCTCAGGACGTCAGATCGACTGAACTGTGACTGTAAAACCTTTTTTGCAGCTAAAACCGCTGAAAAAACTATAACTGCTTCGTGCTCGTATCCCTCCTCCACTCGGACTAGTTCCAGGTCACATCCCTGTTCATCCAGAGTCATATACAATATTAACCATTGTATGAAATTTTGTCATAATGTCTTTGTGCTAAAAAGTGTTTTCTGAGGTCACCAGTGACCTCGACCTTTGACCTCTGACCATCAAGTCTAATCAGTTTGTCTTTGAGTTCAAATGGACATTTGTGCAAAATTTGAAGAAGTTCCTTCAAAGCGTTACAGAGATATTGTGTCCACAAGAGGGGGACAGACGGACAGACGGACAACCTGAAAACTAAATGCCTCTGGCTGTCACGGCGTGGAGACATGAAAACAACAGAAGTGAATCCTACTCATGCAGGTGTCATCGGGTCTTGATGAATTAAAAGAGTTCTGGTTCCGTGTGTCAGATACTTGCATTAAATGGAAGAAGCATGAGTTCATCCATCAAACAAGGTTTCATCAGAAACAGCAACAACAGGATGTTTGTCTTTCCTTCTTCTCTCCAAGTGTTTTTGCTGTCTGTGCGTTTTGGCCACAAACAGTCGACGGCTTGACTGACAGTGTGTGTGTGTGTGTGTGTGTGTGTGTGTGTGTGTGTGTGTGTGTGTGTGTGTGTGTGACAGCTCAGAGAAACTGAATTCAGTTCAGAACTTGTGCAGTCATGAAATGTCAACAACTCAGGATAACCTACATTTTTCACTCCTGTTAAAACGATCAGACAGATGTGTCCTCACCTCATCTGGATCTGGATCTGTTCTGGTGTCATGGACTGAACAGGAAGTTTTGATTTCTCCATTCAACAGAGTGTTGGTTTGTTGGTTTGCTGGTTTGCTGGTTTGTTGGTTTGTTGGTTTGTTGGTTTGTTGGTTGCTGGGTTGTTTGTTTTTTTGTTTGTTTGTTTTTTACTTTGTTGCGTTTGTTGGTTTGTTTGAAGTTTGTTCTCGCAGGTTGTTCGTTTCTGTGCTGGTTTGTTTGTGTGTTGTTGTTTGCTGGTTTGTTGTAGTTTGGTTGGTTTGCTGTGGTTTGTTTGTTTGTTGGTTTGTTGGTTTGTTGGTTTGCGTTTGCTGGTGTTCGTTTTGGTTTGTGGTTGTTGGTTGGCTGGTATGTTGTTGCGGTTGTGGTTTGTTGGTTATGGTTTGTTGTGGCTGGTGTTGGTTTGTTGCGTTATTGCTGGTTTGTTTGAGTTTGTTGGTTGGGTTGGTTTGTTGTGCTTTGTTGGTTGCTGGTTTGTTTGTTTGTTGGTTTGTTGGTTTTGTTGGGGTTTGCTGGTTTGTTGTTGTTGGTTTGCTGGTTTGCTGGTTGTGTTCGGTTGTTGGTTTGATTGACTGGAGCTGAGCTCAGCTTTGTTTCTCTGATAACTGCAGATCGACAACAACATACAGGAACATAGATTCTTGGCTTTTTAGACATTTTAATGTGGAAAAGTTACAGATTTATAACGTTAAGTCTGACTTGAGTCGACAGCTCATGGACTCAGTCCCTCCACGCGGAGACACTCTCTGCACGTTGTGCAGTGTATTTAGTCATAATGATCCTGCATAAGAGCAAAGAACTCAT